TGCCGGCACAGCCCGCGCCGGCCTCGGCTCGCCGCTTGGCGCCGGCCGCGCGCCGCCGAACTCTCCTGCGGGCGGCCAGGCGCCTCAGGCGAGCGCTCCCGGGCCAGCCCGGCTGGCGGAAAGCGTTTGGGTCCGGCGCGGTCGGTTCAGCCGAGGCGCCCGCGAGGCAGGCTCTGCTTGCGAGGGAGGCTTCTGCCCGGTTTGCAGGCAAGGCGCAGCTCGAGCGCACAGGAGGCTCGCTGCAGGAACACATCACTGGGACATCGGGGGCCAAGCCAAGGGAGCAAGAGGGCGTGAATCTTAGGGCCCCGGGTCGAATCCAACCTGCTGGGTGCCTCCCCCACTCTTTGGCAGGTTTCAGGGTTTTGCAAAGGTTTTTCATTTTTAGGTAAGGATGCTAGCAAACGGGGCATTCTGGCCCCGTCCCACACCTGTGATAACAGCCCCTGACACCTTTCTGGAAATCCTGTTCAGCTCCCGACTGAAAGCAGTCAACACCCTGGTACACGTCTTCCAAGGTCAAAAGCAGCATCTTAAACAGATTCCAACGTAGGCAGTCAGGAGGGAGTTAGCAGCATTGGTGTGGTGTGCTAGCATGGACGAGTGACATTTCCGGTAAGGACAGCCCATGCGCCAGCTCGCCTGGGGCTTGCGAGGTTTGCGAGGTGATTGGTGGCAGCTGGCTCTCCTGGTCTCTGCTGCCACAGGAAGCAGCCAGCAGCAGGAGTCCAGAGTTCATCTCCAGATGTGGGCAAGAAGACCCATCATGCCTGCAGCACTCTGGGCCATGAATTTCCAGATGGTTCTATTGCTCTTCTCAGTCTGTTGACAAAGGGAGCAAAGGCCATTTTGCTGGTTTGCATCCAGTCCCTCACATTCAAGAAGCAGCAGTTTTCATGACCTGCCAAAGCACTGAAGCCTATGTGTATGGCTTTAATCTGATCACAAGAAATAAAAAGGTAATTGATTAGCCCGTTGATGAAATTTTGCAATCCTTTTGTAATACTTCTGGGACAAGAAGCACCCTTTCTTGCAGTATAATATGCAGGCAGGCACATACCTCGGCTTGATCATCAGTTCAAAGGGAATGGGCAGCCAAGAAATCCGAAGACGACTGAGACTTGAAAGGGAAGCAATGAAGGAACTAGAAAACGTCATCAGGTGCAAGGGTGTTTTACTGGAGAGCAAGGCCAAGATCATCCACATTATTGTATTCCTGATCTTTGTGCATGGGTGTGGAATCTGGACTGTGAAGGCAACTGGCAGGAAGAAAATTGATAACGTTCAAAATATGCTGCTGGAGGAGAGCTTTGCAAATACCCTGGACCAGCAGAAATACAAACAAATGAGTCCTAAATCAAATCAATCAGAGCTTTCCCTGGAAAAAAATATGGCAAGACAAGTATGCTAGGGAAAGTTGAAGACAGAAGACAAAAGGGATTGCCAAATATGAGACAGATGGAATTTAGAAGGGAAGCCACAGTCTTGAACTTGGAAGAGCTGAACGGAGCTGTCATGGACAGGACATTTTGGAGGGCTTTCATTCATAGTGTTGCTATAGGTCAAAGATGGCAACAAAGCAATAACCATCTGGAGATTGGAAGGCCACTTTGAATAGGGCATGTGCTATTTGCTGAGTGGAGGGGACTTAAGTAGATGGATAAATTACTCAGTTAAATTGGGGCACCAACTGGGTGTGACTCTGGGCAGTCATTTTCTTTCTCATTTATCATAGGATCATGGTTTTAAAGGGATTATTTTGTTGACTGCAATCTGAGTGAATTCAGCTTCCTACGCAGGATCCGAGAATTGAGAGTGCTGTCAAATTTCCCTGTTTACGTTGCTAAGATCTGTTTATGGGCTGGGAGTAGCAGCGTGTGGGGCAGCAGGGCAGACAGAGATGGATGGAGCACATGAAGGGTCCTGCAGCATCATACCAGGAGAGCCATCTTGTTCATGCCTGCTTTCCAGCAGTGGAAGCCATGCAAGGGCCAGTTGCTCTGCCTTGTTTGCTTCCTTGGTGCCCACTGGTAATCACAGGTATGCTGCTGCAGGGCACGGAAGGGCCATGAAGCCGGGTGCTGTCTAGTCCCGCCTCTGTTTGCCATCTGTTAAGCTGGTGGCTGCCACCACCTTGTGTGCCTCCTGTTGAGGAGCCCAGAGGGACGGTCTAGCTTGAGGGTGGGGTGAGACGGAAGAACAGCTCCTGACGTTTTTGACGTGTGGCTACCCTCATTTCTGTCCTCGCTTGTTGGGGTTTCTGCAAGCTGAAGTACAAGATATCTAGAGACCATTTCTGGTTTAGACATGTCATTGAGGAACAGAAGGGATACTTCCTGCCCTGGAGCACTTGAAGGGCAATGCTGAACCGCAGATTTGGCCTTGAAATGTGGACTCCCAAGAGGATTTCAGAAGACCGAAAGTGGGTGGCTCTGCTGAACAGATGGAGGGAATTCAGCTTCTCCATAGGGGGTTGTACTCCCCCTGAAAGAGCAAGTTTGAATTCAAGGCTTGGAGGCATCCTTGAACTATCTGTCACTTGAGCCTCACATGCCCTCGGGGGTAGTCCAGCTGCACCCATTTCTGGACAGGGATTGCCTGGTTAAGTGATCTATGCTTTGGCAATCTCTAAACTTGCTATTAGTTGAGAAGTTGCATTTGACCCATCGCGACCCCATGGACAACATTCCTCCAGGCCTTCCTGTCCTCCACCATCCCCCGGAGTCCACTTAAGCTCACGCCAACTGCTTGAGCGACTCCATCTAGCCACCTCATTCTCTGCCATCCCCTCCTTCTTTTGCCATCTATTGTTCCCAGCATTTGGCTCTTCTCCAGGGAGTCGTCCTTCTCATTAGGTGGCCAAAGTATTTGAGTTTCATTTTCAGTACAGTGGTACCTTGGCTCACAAACTTAATCCATTCCAGGACTCTGGTTGTGACCCAAATTGGTCATGAGCCAAGTCAAATTTCCCCATAAGGGTCAATGTTAATAAGGTTAATCCATTCTGCAACTATTTTTTTTTAATCACAAACATTTGAAGCAAGTGACAACAACAAACATCGCAGCCATCCCCCCCCCCCCAGCGATCGTGCAGGGGGGTGGGAGGAGATGGGTGCAGGCGGCTGGGGGTGCGGGCGCACTTGGGCAGGGAACACAGGCGCAATCACGACCATCTCCCCTCCCCGCCACAGCAGGACTGCGATCACGCCCGTGCAGGGAAGGCGGGAGCGATCATCACCCAATTCAGAGTTAACGACCTGGGGCAAAATTTTTATGAAATTTCTGTACATGACCCAATTTGGTCATGAACTGAGGCTTTCCTGAGACGAGGTACCACTGTATTTGGCATTCTAAAGAGCAGTCAGGTTGATCTCCTCTAGGACTGAATGGTTTGATCTCCTTGCAGTCCAAGGGACTCGCAGGAGCCTCCTCCAGCATCACAATTCAGAGGCCTCAATTCTTCAGCGCTCCATCTTCCTTATGGTCCAGCAACTGGGAAAACCATAGCCTTGACTATACGCGCTTTTCTTGGCAGGGTGATGTCTCTGTTTTATAGTATGCTGTCTAGATTTACCATAGCTATTCTCCCAAGGCACAAGCATCTTTTAATTTCTTGGCTGCAGTCCCCGTCAATGTTGAGTTTCAAGCCAATTTTTGCGCTCTGCTCTTTCACCCTCATCAAGAGGCTCTTTAGTTCCTCTTCGCTTTCTGCCATGAGAGTGGTATCATCTGCATATCTGAGGTTGTTGATATTTCTCCTGGCAATGTTAATACCAACTGGTGATTCATCTAGCCCCACCTTTCTCATGATGTGCTCTGCATATAAGTTAAATAGGCAGGGTGACTGTATACAGCCTTGCCGGACTCCTTTCTCAACTTTGAACCAATCAGTGGTTTCGTGTCCAGTTCTCAGTGTCGCGTCTTGACCCACATATAGGTTTCTCAAGAGACAAATAAGATGGTCTGGTACTCCCATTTCTTTTAAGAACTTGCCACAATTTGTTGTGATCCACACAATCAAAGGCTTTAGCATAGTCAATGAAGCAGAAGTAGATGTTTTTCTGGGACTCCTTAGCTTTCTCCATGATCCAGCGTATGTTGGCAATTTGATCTCTAGTTCCTCTGCCTTTTCGAAACACTGCCTGTACTTCTGGTAGTTTTCAGTCCACATACTGCTGGAGGCTAGCTTGTAGGATTTTGAGCATAACTCTACTAGCATGTGAAATGAGTGCAATGGTGTGGTAGTTTGAACATTCTTTGGCTTTGGCCTTCTTTGGAATTGGAATGTAAACTGACCTTTTCCAATCCTGTGGCCACTGTTGAGTTTTCCAAATTTGCTGCCATATTGAGTGTAGCACTTTAACTGCATCATCTTTTAGGATTTTGAATAGCTCAGCTTGAATACTGTCACCTCCACTAGCTTTGTTGTTGCTCAGACTTCCTAAGGCCCATTTGACTTCACATTCCAGGATGTCTGGCTTGAGGTCAGTGGCCACCCCATCGTGGTTATCAGGAACATTAAGCTTTTTCTTGTCTAGTTCTTCTGTGTAATCTTGCCACCTCTTCTTAATTTCCTCTGCCTCTCTTAGGTCCCTGCCAATTTGGTCCTTTATCATGCTCATCTTTGCATGAAACCTTCCCTTCATATCTCCAATTTTCTTGAAGAAATCTCTGGTCCTTCGTATTCTATTGTTTTATTTTATTTCTTTATACTGTTCATTGAAGAAGGCATTCTTATCTCTTCTTGCTGTTATCTGGAATTCTGTGTTCAATTGGGAGTATCTTTCTCTTTCTCCCTTGCCTTTTGCTTCCCTTCTTTCCTCAGCTATTTGTAAAGCTTCCTCAGACAGACATTTTGCTTTCTTGCATTTCTTTTTCTTTGGGATGGTTTTAGTTGCTACCCCTTGTATAATGTTGCGAACCTCCGTCCATAGTTCTTCAGGCACTCTGTCTATCAGATCTAATTCCTTAAATCTATTTGTCACCTCTACTGTATATTCACCAGGGATATGATTTAGGTCATAGCTGAGTGGCCTAGTGCTTTTCCCCACTTTCTTCAATTTAAGCCTGAATTTTGCAACACGAAGCTCATGATCTGAGCCACAGTCAGCTCCTGGTCTAGTTTTTACTGACTGAACAGAGCTTCTCCATCTTTGGCTGCAGAGCACATAGTCAATCTGATTTCTGTGTTGACCATCTGGTGATGTCCATGTGTAGAGTCATCCCTTGGGTTGTTAGAAAAGAGTGTTTGCTAAGACCATCGTATTCTCTTGCCAAAATTCTACCAGCCTGTGCCCTGCTTCATTTTGTACTCCAAGACCAAACTTGCCTGTTATTCCGGTTATCTTTTGACTTACTACTTTAGCATTGCAATCCCCCATGATGATAAAGACATCACTTTTTGGTGTTAATTCTAGAAGGTGTTGTAGGCCTTCATAGAACTGGTCAACTTCAGCCTCTTCAGCACCAGTGGTTGAGGCATAGACTTGGACTATTGTGATGTTGAATGATTTGCCTTGGATTCGAACTGAGATCCTTTTGTCATTTTGGAGCTTGTATCCCAGTACTGCTTCTCCTACTCTTTTATTGACTATGAAGGCTACTCCATTTCTTCGGAGGGATTCTTGCCCGCAGTAGCATACCTGATGGTCATCTGAATTAAATTCACCCATTCCATTTTAGTTCACTGATTCCTAAGATGTCGATGTTCAGTCTTGTCATCTCTTGCTTGACCACATCCAGCTTGCCTTGATTCATGGATCTTACATTCCAGGTTCCCATGGTGTATAGATCTCTACAGCATCAGACTCTCCTTTCACCACCAGATACATCTGCAACTGAGTGTCCTTTCAGCTTTGACCCAGTTGCTTCATTCTTTCTGGCGCTACTAGTACTAGCCCTCTGCTCTTCCCCAGTAGCATATTGGACACCTTCCAACCTGAGGGGCTCATCTTCCGGTTTCATATCTTTTTGCTTTTTGGTACTGTCCATGGGGTTTTCATGGCAAAGATACTGGAGTGGGTTGCCATTTCCTTCTCCAGTGGATCACCTTTTGTGAGAACTCTCTGCTATGACCTGTCCGTCTTGGGTGGCCCTGCACGGCATAGCTCATAGCTTCATTGAGCTACGCAAACCCCTTCGCCACAACAAGGCAGTGATCCATGAAGGAGTTGGACAGTATAGAAATAAATAATTATTCAGGGGGTTATGTCTCTGGGTTTTTTAATTTAGATGTTGCTTAGGTGAAAATTCACAATAAAAATCAGTTGGAAAAACATGACCATCTCTCAAATATCTGGTTATTTTCCCTGGTTCATAAATTTACAAGTTTAATCTTCCAACCAATTATTACAACCTAATAAATGAGGAAGAAGCTTGTGCTATGCACACACACTTACATATCAGCGAAATAAAATGCAGCATTTCCTTCATCTCTATTATTATGATAACATTACATTTATACCCTCCTTTCTTTCTCTAGTAAGGAACCCAACACCCCTTTGAGGCAGGTTTGGCCAAGAGTGAGCTTTGTGTCTGAGCAGGGACTTCTGCTGGATTCCCAGTTTCCCTGTCCAACATCCCAGACTGGTTTTTCCATACATCAGCCTCCTCAGATTGATGTCCTCCAGAGGCAGTGGACTACATATTGCATCCTCCTCCAGCCAGCATGTCCTGGAGGAAACTGGGCTGGGGAAGTTGTAAGCCATTCTTCCAATGGTTATCTGGGCTGGAATTATGCTCACACCAGAGGCAGACTAAGGCCTCTGAAGGAAGACTTCTGTGCTTGGCTTCCGTCAAAGGGGGGAGTCCCTTGCCATCACTGCCACCCCAGTTCCAGTCCTGCCGATATTAAAGCAA